ATTCGTTATGAGGTTATTATAAAAGAAATAATAGTGTTAATTAATGTCAATTGCATCTTGCAAGCATTCATCTTTTGACCCGGGTGATCATGCAAAATTTGAGCACTGCACATACTTGGCCAGCGTTTTCATGAGTAAATTCATTAAAGACGACAAATGTCCGAATGTTATTCAAAATGATGATTCAAAAAAAGATAAGGTAATATGATTAAGGTATTACCATACCTTTCAATATTAATTTATATATAATATATGGCTTACAATGTCGTAATCATAGGGAAAGTCGAGTCTTTCCATTGCTTTAGAAAGTTTTATGCTTCTAACTCAAGCTGTATCAACAAGCTGGCCGGATAAACTAAAAGATTTTTTAGAGTTGTCTTATCATTCAGAGGAATCAGAGGAATTGAATGAGAGACGTCCTGATAATCTGGATGGTTGGCTTAATTTGTATATTCAAGAATTTGAGGTAAGATTGCCTCATCCAAATTTATGTATTGACATCTTGATCTTTATTAATTAATATTACTATCTATTTGTTAGCGCCTTATGGTTTCGTCATTAAGCGAACGTACTCCACAAATTAATGAGGCATCATGGTCATGTAAAACGATATCACTATTGTCAACATATTATGTGAACAAAAGCAAAGATACCGATTCCGAGTCTCAAGGACACATTGAGCAATTGATTGAATGGCTTAATACTCTTTGTAAAGAACGCGTCATTGAGGATACAGGGCTCGCTAAAATTATTGTCAACCTTTTACTTAAGTTAGAACGCGACATGGCAGATTTTGATACTGTTGTGGAAATGGCACACGATATGTTTGTTGTTTTAGGCCCTATTACTGGTCGACCTGAATCAGACGAAACACAATCGCATAAATATATGATTGTTAATGCTCGAACAAGTGCAACAGTATGTGGCATTTTGATAGAGTTTTTGAATGCAATTTATGATGAAATGGAATGGTATTTGACTAAGTTAAGAGCGTTGTGTGGCGCCAGTGGTGTATATTCATTTATTTATCAAATTATTGGATTCAATTTTATATTTAACAATTGGTTTAATAGCTTTGTCATTATTTTTGTATTTATTAGGTACTGATTCTGACGAAGCACCTGAATTTGAAGAAGTAGAGCAAGAAATTTGCTTGAGGTTAATAAAACTTATGAATTCAATGCTACACCTCGAGAAGACATGTCTCCAATCTACCACTTCAGAAAATCTGCTCAAGTGTTTACAGAGAGCATATAAAGTTCTGGTGGCATTAACCAGATATGTAAGTTATTATGAATGAATCATGTCACTCTGATTTGTCTACTTTATCTTTTTTTTTTGCATTGATAGAAAATCGCCGAAGCAGGCGAAATCCAAGATCAGTTTACTGCCGTAATTAAGTTGGCTGGGGGCGATTTGACAAATAATTTATATAACTTTCTTACAGCGTTTGGCCAAGTAAAAAATAGTGCTTATCGACTAACAAGTAAAAAAGGAAAAACAAAATCTAAGCCGTTGACACAGAAGGTAACGAAGTCATCAACTACAAATATATAATCTTATAGTAATATACTAAATTTATCTTCATCGTGATATCATAGGCTAGAATTACTAAGGAATCCAAAATAATACCGGTATTGATTTTTATTTTAGAGCAGTTCGAACGTTATACTATGCAATTGTCAAAGAAATCAAAGGTAAAGTTATATAATGTATATAATGATTGAAAAATAATTGAGTTTAATTATTTTTAAAAAATATACAAAAGACCGATTTGATGCATTATATCACAACCACCACATCACGAGATTTTAAGATAAAAATTGAAGAATTGGACGGAGATACCGACAATCAGCCAAAGAGAGTATCAAGGGTTTGTATTAACTTATAGACGCTTCATTTTTTTTTTGGTATAACTATCGATCTGACCTTTAACTCTGATATAGACTGCTGCCTCAAATGAGCAAGAAGATGATGAGGTATGCATAAATATTGATTAATTTATTTATTAACGCAGAATTTGTTAATGCTAAATGATATTTTTTTAGGTTGAAGAAGGTGGATCAGAGGATCATCGAAGAAAACGACGTTGTTCAGATTCATCAATGGAAATTGATTAAAAGTTACAGTATATGTTCTTATACAGAGTTTCAATACTGTATTTATCGGTCAAATAAATTTACATATTCAAATTTTATAAATAAATTTATAAAAAAAAATTTATATTAATGAAATTAATGCGATATTATTGTGGAACTACCCCAGTACAGGGACTGGATCCAAATCAATCAAATTTTTTAATGTTAGCCAAATTTTTTAAATTTTCAAGATTTTGCGAATCTTTTTGATTGGTTAGATTCTTTTTTCTACCTTCATGGTAGCGTGACCATGAGAATGATACGTTTGTAATTTTGATTGATTAATTTTCACGTGTAGATCTACTGAATTTAATCAATTAGACCAGTATAATTCATAAAATTTGTCATACCGGTGAAATCTTTTTCTTCTACTTTTACACAAAACAAAAAAAAAATGTCCAAATTTATAGCAGTACTATCCGGGTTCATTGCTTCTGGTGCTTTATTATATCACTTTCAAAATGAAATTGAGGATAATACATCGCAAATTCGTTTAAGGTTACATAATACTAGAAACCAACTTGAAGATTCTTTACCCAGCAACCTAAAAGACAGTTCGGTATGTCAAATTTTTTAAGCATGTAATTATTAATTTAATTTATTTAATCATACAAATTGTATATTTAGGTTACTGATCAAAATCATTTAATTCATCCATCTAAACGATCAAATGCTCGTCCACAATTACCAATTCCTTCGCTTACTCAAACACAAAATTATATCAATCATCGTTTTATTCCAACATTTAAATCAACATGGAATGAACATGTTACAAATCTTGCCAATAAACTTACTAGTTTTGATGTTAGTGAATCAGTTAAAAATGCTAAGTCTTTTGTTGAAGATAAGTGGAATAATAAAAAATAATAACTCTTTTTAATGTAGACTATTCACATATAAAATGGTTATAGAAAATAGGCTTCAACCTTCTATACCCATTTTGGATAATCTTAATTATATATTAAAATACTAAATAATAAATGTCTATCCTAATTAGTGAGCCTGGAAAAAATATAGTGCTTTTAATATTTTAATGTTACATGAATGATAGATTTATTAATGATGGGTTTATTAAATTCTATATTACAAGTTTATTAAAATTGTGGCAGCCTCATGTTAAAATTTTGATCTATCAAAATTTGGGTTATTTGTAAAGCTGTTAATAAGAGTAGATATAAATCTTAGTGTTGTATATTTAAATGAAAACCTACAATTTTAGCATTAACTGCTACAAAAATTACTGCTCTTTTTTACAAGTAATTGATAATTTATCTTTTCTTTTTTTTCTCTAATTATTCTTGGTAAGCTTTATAGATGAATTAAATCAATTTTTATTACGTGGTATAATTGCAATTTTCAACATTAACTTTTAACAAATTAATACATGGCATAGCATATGCAGGAAAATTTTGACTTTTTATAAGTTTTAAACAAAATTTTTTTTTATTTCATATTGTACATTAATAAGTTTATTAGCATAAAAAACTAGTCTTTGTGCATTTAGTTATCATTAAAATCAGGAACCTTTATATTATCATTACGAAGTTAGTTATAGTACTTGTTAAGTATTTTCTAAATATGTACTAAAAAAATTAGTAGACCGGGAAAGATGTCATTTATGAAGTTTCTGCGGTCCGATTTATCATTCAATGTAAAAATTGGACCGTAAATGATATAGGTGACTAATTTTGGTTATTAGCGGATGCGCTTTGCAAAACAAGAACACCACGCATTTATTAGCATTAAAATATATTTTTTAATAGGTCCCGGATATCTACAAAAAAGATCCAATTTTATATAATCGGTATAGAAAATAAAGTCACAGGACATATGATTTACTTGATTTTTCTAGCAAAATCTCATATAGATATGATTTTATCGGTGGCGATCTGCCTCAATTAAAGTTTACAGCTGCAAATATTTATGGACTAGCGTTAGATGTTATGACGGAATTGATTAAGGATAGCGACCGAGATTTGTATCTATACTATGTCAATTCGATGATACTGATACCAATAACGATAAATAACATGCCGCAAAAGCTAAAATCGACAATTGACAGAACAAATAATGAAATGAAATCAAGAAACAATTCTCGAACGTGGATAAATTTAAACTGGAACTGATCAAACGGAAATATCCTATAGTTCTATATCTATATACACCACTAGGATCTAACGATTTATAAAAATCAATTTTTTTAATACAATCATCTCTGGATATAACCGAACTTATCCTATCTATAACGAGCTTTCTTAAGAAAACTTCATTATAGAATTCTGTAAAGAAACAGTAATTGATATAAATGCACTAGAGATATTAATCACCATGTTCATCATATACCAAGTGGGACATAACTAATCTATTATTACAAAGTTCACAACTTTGGTATGTGAAGGTTTACATTAATACGTCTGCTTCTCTAAGTCTAACTCATACACCGCACTATTAGACCAAAACGAGTTGAATAGCTCGGGTTCTGCCGTTACTTTTAATAATTTTATACTAGCCTGAGGCTAAGTTGGCACCAGTTTGCTCTAAAGTGTATTATCTGTGCGTATTGTGAACGAGACTTCAAGGTTAACTCATGTGATCGAAAGTTCAAGCAAAGAATATGTCCAAGGTCCAATTATATTAGAACACACGTAATTCGTGACACATTATTATTCCTGTTATATTAAACAAAATGATACGTAGCAATATTTTAAAATCTGATTCATTTTATTATACAGAAAAACATGCCATACAACTTTCATTATAAATAAACTATTTAAGGGAATCTTCAAAACGAATATAAAGTATCACAATCGCAAAGTATCTATTAACTTTTTAAGTTTTGTGAAGCAGGATCTCATATTTGTCATGGCGTTGAATTGGGTAATGATTTCGTCCGATGGAAAAAATCCAGTTCCTCTTCCTAGCGAAAAAATATTATTCAGGTTTAAACTAATTTAAATTAATTTTTTGGTCTGAAGATCTTTTGAATTAACTTAATTAACCGATTTCTCTATTTATTAAAATATAGTCAAGAAAAAGTGTCCTTGCTGCTGGATTTAGGCGGGTAAGTTCTAATTTTAATTAAACCTGATTTCTATCCAGAGTTACAAAATTCTACTGACACGATCTTATACTTTACTAGCGGATATCCCGGAAATCCTTCAAATTATAAAGCTGATGGAAATATTTTTATCACAAATCAGCGTGTAAGTAATTTGCTCTGCAATGTGACAATCATAACTTCTTGTTTTAACAATTTTTTGGATAGGTTTTATTTATTTCTCGCCCACCTCTGCATAACTTTCAATCTTTAAGCGTGCCTATTTTGAATTTGAAAGACGGGAAACTTCAACAACCTTGGTTTGGGGCTAATTACTATGAAGCATACTTAATGCCAGTGAGCATTTATGTTATATCTTTGAATTATTATAATCCATTTTGTATGATAACGTAATACTTTTTATAACAAATAAAGGTACAGAATGGTGGACTACCATCTCCTGGACAACTGAAAATTACCTTTAAAGAAGGAGGTCAGGTTTGAGATAATCATTATACATAATTAAGAATTTGATGTTTATGTTATTAATATTTGAATCTTAACACAAAATAGGTGGATATGATTTCAGTTCATGTTTCACCGAATTGATACAGAGACTTTCGGGTGAGTTTACCTTGACAATCGTTAAATATAAGTCACTTTGATCTAACAATTATTTTTAGAGAGTGAAAGTTACGTTCTTGTTGAACATACTGAACAATTACCAACTTATACACCGCGTGAAGATTCCACATCGACAGCCACACAAGCGTTAGGAACGGCGGCATCTTCCGGTGTCATGCCACCAACAGGACCTCTCACCAATGCAACATCCCCATCTCATTCCACTTTAGTCAATTCTGCAGCACCTCCCCCGATAGCTCCGGGTGAGCTACCACCCAGTTATGATGAAGTAACAAGTTGAACGTGTTGATATATGAATCTCAATATGTTGGCTATGTTGATATATGAATCTCAATATGTTGGCTATGTTGATATATGAATCTCAATATGTTGGCTATGTTGATATTTATCGTACATTTATTATATTTATTCCTATTTAATAACACATACTATAACTGTAGCTTACTTCTATCTTAATAGCGTTATTTAGTTTAAGCATCGAATGAGGACGGGTTTAGTAATTTGGGCGTAGGGAGTTTCCTTTCTAATATTAAAACCAAAAGTAGCATTAATCTTTCCAAATTTCGAGCAAGAAAATACTCTGCAATGAAGATGAATATATCATTTCTTTTCTACAAGTTTCTTCCGATGTGTTGTTTATCGAATTACTTAACTCGCTATTATTATTACTAGTATATTTGTCATAATCAAAATTAAACGATTTGAGAGATATTTGTCGACATTTAAGTTTCCATTTATCTAATAAATATTGAATAGTTCGTTTTGAACTTTTAAAAATAATCATGAGCATTGCAAAAGTTGTAAATATACATATTTGATCTCTGAAAAAATATATACGTACCTTCGCTCTTGATATGAAGTTAAGAACTTTGCCTTTGGTGCGTGATAATTCAGTATATATGCAATAGTTGCAATTATATCCGCAAAGTCTATATTTTACAAACGTGAAATATCATTAATTCAAATTAAGAAAAAGTATCACTTTAATCATAAATACCTTTTGGATCATAAAATGTATCACTACCCAAAATCCAATCCAATTTCCTATTATTTTGCTCAATATCACGTAACAATTGCAATAAATTTCCTTCTTCACTCTTATCTTTTCCTTGGTCTCTCAAACAAAATTCCCCCCAATTTAATCCTCTTATCCAAATATTTGGTCGTAACGATCCGGCAAAAATGTCATCGGACGTTAACAATAATCTATTTAATCGAGCACCATCATAAATATTTTCCAGGATCTGCGGATAATCAGATTGATCCGTTAATATAACGTGTGTTTGAGGTGATAACGAAGCACATAAAAATCCTGGTAATGATGTTCCTGCTCCTAGCTGATATTGCGTTTAATTATTTTATGATTATTATTATCGTTGTTGATTAAAGGAAAAAAGCCGCAATTCACAAACTAAAAGAATGATTACTTCTAAAATAGTTTTATCTTCAAACAAATTTCGCCTATCCCAAATATATTCTGCCAAAACAAACGCTGACGGCCATATGTAACATCCATACGATGAATGAAGTAACTAAAAACATTAAAGCTATGAGTATTTTTTTTTTTGATACTGACAAAACAATGATAGTTACTTCTTTAATAACGACTGCTCGGTATCCGTTTCCATCATGAGAATTATTTCCAAAATGAAACGTTTTTGTTGAATTCATATTTAACGTTAACGAATCTGTAAATCAAATTTATAGTTGAAAAATACATTTTAATACGTAGTCACAATTCATAAGAAGTTCCATATATTGTACTTATTTGGTCAAATAAATTAGTATCGGTATATCCAAATTTTATATGTAATAGCCCAAGTCTAGATAGTTTATTTGTAAATCAATATACCTGCTTAACAATAAATCAATAGAAAAAACTGAGAAAACCTTGCTTTAAAAAAAAAAAGTTTTTTGTATTCATCTTGGTAAGACAAATTGAATAATATAAGAATCATTAGATAAACTTTCATATTATGTGATCTACAACTGCTATATTAACTTATTTTACTTTATAAAGTCAAAATTTTATTAAATAAATCAATATTAGCATATTAAGTAAATCAGAAGACTAAAGAATATATATATTCTAAAAGGTTGATATGAATTAAGCAATTTTTTATTAACATATTTTTTTATTTTTATGTATTTAAAATATTTAAACAACCTATATAAAAATCTAGTTCATAGGTTTTTTTTTTAATTTGAAAAAACTAAAGGTTTTAGAACCTGAAACAAACCTAAGTTAACTTTTACCATCACTTTTTCCTGCTTCTATCGAAATTATTGTTCTTGATCGTTTCTTTTCGTTCCCTCCGATGATAAACTCTAGAATTAGGGTCTTGAGTTTGACTTTTTTGTTTTTCATCATCTAATAATTCCCAAAGCCAAGAGGGATATTCATCATCAAGCTTCGCTATAGGATCGTTCCCATTTTTTAAGAAGTTTATGCCTTTAAGAATGGTTCCAGCGGGAGCAGAAGATTCAATTTTATGGTCGTTAGGCGAAATTATTTTACGTGACGTGGAAAGATGTAACCTAAAATTGGCAAAAGACGAATGACGAAAAGACGGAAGTCTGGCGAATGACGAAACTTCAGAAACTTTAAGGAAAGGCAAAGCCCTAAGAAAGATAAAAGGCTAAGATATAGATGGCTGGCGAAACCCTAAGAAAAATAAAGGCTGAGTTATAGTTGGTAGACAAAACCATTTTTCCATGATGTACTGAGAGGCAAGACGAGATCTTAAATTTAAAATTGAGTTGATAATAAGGCAAGCTTTTGTTGTAATTGGCTAATTTTTGCATGATATCATAAATGGAAATGTTGTTACACGAACTATTTATATGGGCAATTGAAAATCTGATATATGATTGTAGTTTAAAAAACCCCCTGATAATTTCACGATCCATTTACCCGTAATAAGTTAAACTTAAGGTACCCGTGTCGATTAGTAAAATTTTTTCGTTTTGGTGTTCTTAGTGAAAGATCTTTTCTAATTATTTTTAATTGCTTTCTTCTGAGTTTTTATAAAAGTAAAGGTAAATGTTCGGTAATTAGCAGAGTTTTATTATTATTATTTTTTTTGAATTTCAAACAGTTACATTAGCATTTTATTAAGATCGTTTTTTTTTTTTATATATTAAACTAGTCTTTTTTGAGGCTAGGGCTTTTTTATTCAGTAATTAGGATATGGGGATTCACGGCCAAGGACTCAAAGGAGTCATTTTTACATACATTTTTGGTATTTAATTTAAGTAGTCCGTCAATAGTTCTACACTAGCTGTCATATCTGCAATCAAACTAGAAGCATTGCCTATTTAAACTCTTTGTACTGCAATTCTTACTATGTCATTAAATTATTTCTAATATACATGTTAATCAAAAAGATCTAAATGTTTATTTGTACCCTTAGAACCTTTTATTTTATTTCATGCAGTGTATCTTCAGAAGCATTATTATTAAAGTTTTTCATATTTTATATTATTTAACACTTGCAATTAGAGTTAATTTTAAATTGTTATATTATACTATTTCTATCTTTATAAAGTTCATTTAAATTTTGGTACTTATTTTTTTGACATTTTTTTTATTATTTCTTATTAATGATAACTTAGAACTGATAGATTCTTTAGACTTTCAATTCAGATGATTTGTATAATATATCTTAGTATCTTTTTTTTTAACAATTCTAGCAGTCTAATTGGTTATATATTTCTCTATATGGGGGTGAGTTAGTAGAAATCAAGCAAATTGTTTTTATTGAGTTGTTTTAAAATTTTTAAATACTAATACTTTAACAAAAACTTGATCAAATTTAATTCAATTTTTTTTAAATAATTTTTATAAGTTTATTAAAATTCATTTTAAAAATTTTTTATTAAATTTGATTAATTTGTTATTAAGTTATTGTTTGTTTATTTTTTTTTTTTTGGTATTAAGATGATCTTTTTGATCTTTTGATTTTATTAATATATTTTTAGGAATGTAGTTCTGTAAGAAGTTATTACAGGAAGAGCATATAATTAATTATTTATATAACTTTCTTTATTATCTATTTAAGGAATCCACTTAATGTTCTTTATCAATTTTTATATCTAATACTCTTGCTTGGATGTTTCATTTAAACCTCTTAAACCTGTCTTATGTTATTTCATTAGATCAAACTTAGATTTTTCATTTCAACCTTAAAATATTTTTATCTTTAAGGTAAACTTACTGAAGTTTGCTATTTAGTTATTTTTTGCAGCTAACCCAGATATCACTATAGTAAAACTAATACTTACAGTCAAAACTAACTATTAAATTGCTATGTTTTTGTAGAGTTCATCCAAATCCTAGTACCTACTTTATAGCATATCTCTAGTATTTTAGTACATTCTTGTTTCTTTTACCAAACTCTCAATTCAGATAACTCATATAAGATTATGATCAGTCTATTAATATATTAAATCAATCTGATATTCTTTTTCTTTAATCTAACTAAGTAGTCTGATTGATGATATCTCCAAGATTCCCAACTCAAAAGTTTTTACTTATCTGACTACTTTGGCATTAATATTAATTTTTTAGATCTAGCTTTTACAGTAGTATCATCAAAGATTCATGTTATCTCTTTATTCAGGTCTTCTTAAGTAGGCTTCTTGTTCTCTAATTTTTACAGATTTATATAACTACAAGTCTTATCTTAAGTTTGCACTACCTGATTTATTAATTTGCATTTCTTTGTATAACAAATTACACAGATGTTCCATAACCTGCCAGTTATGCTAATATGATCATAATTACAGATATCTTAAGCTAATCTTTAGAAACAGTTACCATAATACCAAATTATATAGATGATTATTCAAATTTTTAGTATTAATAAAATTTAAACACCTAATCTACCACTTGAAGAGTTGACAACTTGATTACTTCACTAAATTGCCACACTCCTATTGTTAAGGTATTGTTATTCAAAGTTTTAAAAAAATTTACCTAGAAAAAAATTGCTTGATTTCTATTAACTTAACCTTATATCTTTATTATTTAGTTTATCTGTCTATTTTTATAAAAGTGTTTTATAAACTTTTATTAGTTTGATAGTACTATCAAAAGTTTGTATTATCTTTTTATTCAAAAATTTTCAAGTAAAATTCTGTATATAAATTTTATACTTTACATAAATGTTTTAAGTTTCTAATAATAAATAAAATCTGACTTTATATATCTGAATTATAGCTGTATAAGATCAACTAATCGACAAAAGATACTTTTCATAACAGATTAATTTCTAAATTTTGTTATAGGTAAAATTTAAACCTTAGACCTGTTATTTGAAGAATAATAATTTAATTATTATACTAAGATTACTATCTCCTCTTTATTAAAATTATTAAAACTATATACATATATAATTTAATGGTCTGACAAAGCATTTTGGAAACCAATTCAGAAAACATATAAAATTTTTTTATACTTAAGTTTTAGTATTACTTAGTTATTTTAATATTATTTTAGCTAAAAATAAACTGCTTATTTGATTATTTAAAACCATACTAGAAATAATTTTCTTTTTATAACAAGTATATTAATTATCTTTTAAGTTTGTTTTTTTTTTAAAAAAATATTTTACAATATTTTATTAATATATTAAATTAATTTTTATAATTATTTTTATAAAAATAAGAATACAATTAGTTATATATATATACAGAGGACCAGATTAATGACAGCTAGACCCAACATACAGGACAGGCTATGGTATCCTGTGCAGCTGTGCAAGCCAAGCATATAGTAAGCGAATCTACAGAAGAACTCTCTATTTCCTTGAACTTCATTTCATCATCTCATACCAAGAAAGAATTACAAGACTCATTTTACAATACACTATATGACCCAGACTCATACTACAATGTATAGTTAGCATGTTTGAACCTATCTCTACTTCCACATCCTCAAACACTAAACTCTTTTTTAAAACACATTCATCATTACAACTACTTACAACTAAACAACTTCAAATATGCACTCACAATAATAATTAAAATTGACTATAGCAAATGCTATATACATTTTCCAAATAAATCTTAACCTTCATCTGAATATTTCTTTTCACAACTATCAGCCTATACTTATTATCTATCTATACCTATTCCTTCTAAATTTTCTCCAATAAACAATAATACATCAAAATACTAACCTAATTATAAAGAAAAGTGACATAGACTATAGTTACTTTCAATTAGTAGCAACTATTTTAGAAGGTCATGATGAAACTACAATAGCTAAACAATACTATGACAACATCCAACTTAATACCTGTTACAACAAATTTCTATTTTACAACCATTTACCATTGCTTTCTCATCCTCAAACTATTATTTCTTTTCTATGACACATCTACAGCTTTGGCTATTCATCCTGATAATGCTTGTAATTACACACTAATTATTTCTATCAAATACGATTATAGCAAAGCTTATGTTTATCTTCTATCTAAAGCTAAACCATTATCTAATCACTTTATTTTACCAGTTCAAGCCATCTGGCATTACCTAAACATTCAACTAAAATCAAACACATCAACACCTGTTTTTTCTATACTAATACCTTTTGCTTCTATCCCTAGTAGCTTAACACAACCCAAAACCTCTAACACCTTACTTCTAAATTTTATAATCTGTATTCA